GCGTGTGTGACTATCAAGCGACAGCATTGAGTTTATAAGCATGCAAGTTCTCCTTTCTGTTTTTCCCACACTGTATTTTGGAAATTGTTCCACAGCAACACGGAAAGAGTTCCCCCGTTTCAGTTGCACAGTACTCATTATATGTATGCATCATAATTTATAGCTTATTTAGCCAGTACACCAGTCTCCTTTTGACTTAGATTCTTTCCTTTTTTCTTTTCCTCTTCCTTCCCTACTAAGAACCAAATCATATTGCTTCAGGGCTTATTATTATTATTATTATTAAAACACCACTGCCATATCCAATTATAAGACGCGTTGACAGACATTGAGATTGTTTCCGATTCTTTGCTATTATACACGATGCTACAATGAGTAACTGGCTGGTAAGTTGATTTACACACGTGTAAGTATAGCCGCAAGATGAATTCCTACAAGTGGAACTGTGTTGAGGATTATGTGCACTTACAAGTTTTTTGTTTTTGTTTTTTTAGTTTTATTTATTAATTTAAGTAATCTCTCCACCCAATGTGGAGCCTGAACTCACAACCCCAAGATCAAGAGTTGCATGATCCTCCGACTGAGCCAGGCAGGCGCCCCCATTTACAGTTTCAATGGACATTGCCATACTGCCCTCCACCAAAGCTCTACAGAAGGTTATGTCAAGTGTAAGTGAGTTGAAAGGAAGAAGAGAAGGTAAGAGATAAGAACAGCTGGTAGGAAGCTGAGTCACAAAGATGCCTCTTTGATGAGGCAGAGAAAGGGAGCCAACGGGGGATTCACAGAGGGTAGACCCAATGGGGAGAAGACCAGGACCTACAGAGACAGCAAACGGATGGGACGAGAGGGCTTCCATAAACATGTCATACAGGTGCAGAGGCCTAGAAGGATGAGAAAAGGACTGGGGTTGCAGGGCCTGAGAAGAAATAAAACTGAAAGAGCAAGAAAGAAAAGTGACTGTCTGGGATGAACTGTACTAAGGGGGCTTGGCTGGCAATCAGTAGAGGGTCCAACAGGGGCAGGTTCTGAGGTGACCTCTAAGAGAAAAAGCCATGGGGGCAGTGAGCTGGGGGGCACCCATGCCTCCCTCCTTGTGTTTTTCAGAAAGTAATCAGCTGAAGACAAGACTCTTTGGGAGTCCACCTGGCAGACAGGCTAGCCCCACCAGCCCCCAGGGTGGAAGTGGACAGCAGAGTGATGCACCTTGGGCCAAACCAGCAACATCCACCCAGCCCCAGGCCCCAGGAGCAAGGGGCAGATGCCCCACCCTACCACTCCCTACTTCCCATCCCCAAGAGAGCAAAGGGCCAGAGTGGCAATAAAGAAGTCCTTCCCCAGCTGCCAGGTCTGAGGACATCTCCAAGAAACATAGACTCCACCTCTTAAGCCACTCCTCCAACAGAAAGAGGGGGAGGCCAAGTTAGGGGAGAGAAGGAAGCAGCGAGATGTTCTGGGGGCCCCAGGAATCTGGAGTAGATGGGCCACAAACAGGGAAAGGGAAACAAGCCAACCCACCCTGGGGAGGATTTCTATACCCAATGAAAGAATCAAAGGTTTAAAGGCCCTGAGCACCTAGGTGCCCACCTTGCCTGCCTTGGTCCACCCTAGCCTCCAGGATGGTTTTATCCTCTGTTCTTTCTCATCTCCAACCTCTAGCCAGGCTCAGGAAAACAGACTCCTTGATCCCAAACAGTGCCCCTGAACCCCCAAAGCACTGCAGCACCCTTAAAATGGCCTGGAGCTCGCCCTACCCAGTTCCCTACCCAGTTCACACCCTACCCAGTTCCCTAAATGACCCAGGAAATCCCCACTCCACCCTATGTTGTGCCACACAGGCCAGCCAGTCTGGGGTGGGGGAGTTTCCAAATGAGAAAGGCTGGTCACAAGTCCCTGTGGCCCTATCCAGCTCATCTCCCCGACCAGACCCCAGAGTTTCAGGTGCTGGCCCTGGAGTAGAACCCCCACGGACCCTCTGTCAGAGCAGGAAGGCACAGCAGCTCAGGTCAATCAGAGTCATCACCACCTACACTCTCTGCTACCTCCTTGTGGAACAGGCTCAGGCCCCGGCCCAGTGGGACTCAGGTGTCCCAGCCTGCCCCAGAGATGGTGCCCACTCTCCCCCTCCCCCATCCCTCCTCTCCTCAGACACCCAGTAGAGCTACCGGAAGGATACGGGGAAGAGTGGGTCCTTAACCTGACAGAGAGTCTGGCCCAGGAAAAAGCTGGAAAGCCCCTTTTCCACTTTCCAGAACTGAGACCACCCCCAGATTGAGACCTGAGCTCCCCAGTCTCTGGTTCTATTATCTGTTGGGCTATCTTGGGTCAGAGTGCTAGGTTTCTACCAAAAAGGTGGTCTTGTGTGAAAACCAGCACAGGACTTTTGGAGATCCGGCCAGGGTTGAGTCCCACGTCTCCCATTTACGGGCAGTGATATCCTGGGCAAATTATTTAACATGGGAGTCAGTTTCCTAATCTAAAAAGTGGGATGACGACTAATAGCACCCTTTTCAGAAGTGGTTGTCATGAGGCCTAAGTCAGAGGCTAAGTGGCACAGCAATCAGTAAACTATAAAGTGCTAACAGAGGTTATCAGTTGTGACCTATCCCTGCCCTGGAGCCCCACCTGGCCAGAACATCAGACGGAGAAAATGGGGAACGAAGTCCTCTGGAGGGGCCCCAACCCCCAGCTAACTGCTCAGCCACAGGAGGAAGGAGGAGGAGCCCCCACTTTGCCCTCATCCCTGGAAGTAAACAAGGTGAGCAGACCTTGTAGCTTGGTTATCACATCCTAAGCTGGGAGAGCCCTGCCTGGCTCACCCGAGTACACACACACACCTGCCTGGACAGCTGACATCCCTCCCCTACCAGGTATACATACCAGTAGGCTGACTCACCCAGCAACCCTCCTCACCCCCACCCAGAGCCTCTGGCTACTGTGCCCACGACAACACCCCTTCCCCTTTTAGGTCAACCCCAGGCTGGGCTTGTTCTTCGGCATCTGGGGTCTTGTAGTTGTCCCTACACCGCCAAGAGGCCAGTAGGTGGGAAGAGGGGGTACAGAGAGATGCTAACCAGGCCCAAGCCCAGTAGTAGAAAAGCAGACTATCCTTCCCCAGGCTCACTTGATAGGGCCTCAAGGTACCTAGCACAGTGCTTGGCCAGGGGTGTCTAGCTGGTCACCAGGCGGCCTCCATACAACTCACTCCCTGACTTAGCATATGAGGGCCAGCAATCAGGAATTCGTAGGCGCTGCCTCCCCTCTCCCAAACACACATCCCAGAGCACCAGCCCACTCAACATCCTGAATTAGGGAGCCAGAGGCTGGGTTCTAGGGTGCCACCCCTCACCACTCTAGTTAGCCTGTCCTTTGTTTACTGTTTATACTGCCTACTTCTAAGGAGGAGTCAGGCCTGAATGAGACTGTCCTCCTCACTCCTTTCTGATGCTCGCCTCCCCCAGGACTCCATTACCAGTTCCTTTTCTGAGTCTCCCCAGATCCATCCAACCCGGCCCCCTCGTCCTTACCTCCAAAGCCCTGGGTCCGAAGCTCGCGGTAGGAGCGGTAAACGTCCCGCGTGAGGTAGTTGATGAAGCCCTCCCTGGGTGCGAACTTGCACACGAAGTTCTGCTCGTAGAGGCAGTTCATTAGGAAGCAGGCGGCAATGGCGTCCTCCCCGCCGTCGGGCTGCAGCTCCACCAGCGCTAGGTTGCAGTTCTGGGTGGTGCAGCAGGCGCGCACGCAGTCCCAGCCGCGGCGCACGGTGGGGGAGCCCAGGAAGGTGGCCCCATTGCCGACCGAGGCCTCGGTGTCGAGCACAAAGGCAGGCACCCCGGCGGTAAAGCGGTCCAGGCAGGCGCCTCCCGCGCGCAGCCCGGGGGGCGCAGGCGGCGGCCCGGCCTCGGTGCTCAAGAGATCGAGGGCGCACAGGAGCCACACGGTGACCGCTGGGACGCTGGCCTGGGAGAGGCGGGTACGGGCCATCATCCTTCCCGGGGTCGTTGCCCTCCTCCCCACGGGGGTCACCTTCACTGTGCGGGCCTCTGGGCTCCAAGGGTGCTTGAGACCTGAAAGAGGGGAGGAGACGGAGAAGGAGACACACCGAATCAGCCAGAGACTTCAAGGGAGGCGGGCAGGCCAGGAGGAAGTCGAGAAGAGGGCTGGGAAGCACCCCGCGCCCCGGGAGTGAGGAGGGGTACGGGGGCCCAGCCCTCCCACGCCCACTCCGGTGACCCGGCCGATCGCGGACCCCTAGATGGACGGCTAAGGAGCTCACGTACCCGGGGAAACGCAGCAGCGCAGAACAAAGGGCCACACATGCTCCGAGCCCGCGCCGTCCCCGCCTCGCGCTCCGGGGCCCGGGTTACCTGCGCAGGTGAGTGGGGTGGGGCCGCCCCTGCAGAGGTTCCGGTCCCGGCTTCCTGCGCGGCTCCGGCCCCCGCTTCCGCCCCGGTGCCGGGTGCGCTCGGCCACGTCCTCCCCCGGTTTCTGGTGAAACTGAGTCAGTGCGGCCGGGGCGGAGCGGACATTAACCCCAGCGCCGCCGGCCCCGCCTACCCCGGTGCCCCGCCGCCCGCCCTGCCCTGCCGCGCTCCGCGACTGCCGCCCCACGTCCCCGGACCCCCTTCCCGCCGGCTGCTCCCGGCACCGTGTCGGAGTCCGGGTCCTGGGCGGCGCCCTTCGAGGCTGCTGCTCGACGCCGGCCCCGCTGAGGCCAGCCTCGTGGCGGGGCCCCGCACCCCAGAAGTGATCGGATCACTGGCCTGGACCCTGCAGCAGACTCGTCCATTCGGGGGTCCGGCCCTCTGGCCTCCCTTTCCGGTCGGCGCCAGCATTCCCGGCCCCAGGCCTGAGGCGCTTGAGAAGGAGCTGGGGGAGGAGAAATGGGGCAAAGCCCGACGCAAATGGCAAACGATCTCGCTGCCGTCGTCAACCCTCGAGAAATCCTTTTCATCTCGTGGCGGGAAGAGATTGCAGAAGGGGCTGCACCTTTGGTAACTGGAATCCCGGATGCCTGCTCCAGCGTCACCGCCCTTGCCAGCTCCAGGAAGCCCTCCTTTCTGCCAGAGTGAGCAGCTGAGGCGATTTCCCTCTTCCAGGTTTCCTGCTTGACCGCAGTGGTTCCATTTTGTTTGAGGTCCTTCCTTGTGCTAAGGCTTACATTCAGGTCTCTGTCAGAGCTGAGTCCCTGTTAGCGCTCATTGGCCTGCCGCCTCCTTCCCTAGAGCACAGGTCCCCTCTTCTCTGTCACTAAGAGGGTGCTCCTGGTCAAGAGCTGGTCGTCCTCTTCCACAGGAATGCCATCCTTGGAAGCTAGAAGCTCCAGCTCGCCGAAGTAGTTGAGATAATGACCCTCACAGAACTGTGGGCTCCTTGAAGCCTGAGTGAAGAATTCCTCTTAAAGACCGTTTTTACAGAACAAGGTTGGTCCTCTTGAAGTTCTCCCAAAAAAGAGATTCCGCACGTTTTCATGACGATCTAACAATTCCCGCCCAGTGGGAACGTTCTTCCTAATTTCTCATCTAGAGCAGCTTTACCTTCCAGGTCCTGTAGCCAACCCTCTGATCATTTTCCTGGCTGACCTGCAACGCTCCCCAGCTGCCTACCTTGTGAGTGTTAGGGGTGGGAATCTGGGATCTCTCCCCCTTCTCTGGATTTTCTGCTTTTTTTTCTCACTGCCCCTTGCACAGTGGTGGACACAGAACACTGATGTTATGTTGAGAATGCAGCAAAAGGTTGTGCAGTTACTGGGGAGAAAGGGTTTTGTTGTGAGCTCATTTCTGTCTCCCCCAATACTTTATACATACAAGGATCCTAATGCAGGACACTATGACCTTATAGTGACGTTCCTGACCTTATAGTGACGTGACATAACCATAGATTTATCATTACATCCATCTACACCTGTATTTTTCAAGCACTGACAATGCCCAAGTGCTGTTCTTAAGTACTTCCCACACATTGCCCCATATACTCAAACCAAGAGAGTCGGTACTATTTTTATCCTCATTTTACAGGTGAACAGACAGGCTCAAACAGGTAAAGTAGCAGGTGGCAGGGTGAGGATCGCAGTCTAGGCAGACCAATTCCATTGCATTAGCACCTAAACCCTGGTCTTTGTGCACTTGCAACTCTGTCAGCTGGACCTTCCACCCTCCCCACCGATTTAACTTACCAGAAACAAAAACTCACTTTCAAGTGGTGTGCAGCCCCCTTTAGTTAAGATGCTGGCACAACTGGACATAATTGCTAATGCTCACAGCTACTCTGAGAACAGTCTCCACTTTGCAGAGAAGTTCACTAACTCCATCGAGGCCACATAGTGAAGAGTGGGAGGCAGGGCTAGATAGGGCTTGAGTGTGTGGACTTCAGACTCAGGCTCCTGGGCTTAACTCTCACCTGCCACTTACTATCTGTGTGGCCTTTGGCAAGTTATTTAGCCCCTCTGTGCCTTGGTCTCCTTGTATATGAAGTGGGGCCTCATGGGTTATTATGAGGATTTAATGAGTTATTATAGTAAAACATTTGATACCATAAGTGCCCAATAAATGTTACCTGAAAAAAGTAACAGCAAGATTTTTATTCCAAGTCTCTCTAACATCAAAAACGACACTTTCCCTACCACTTTATACTGCTTCCTACTTACTGAAAAGAAAAACTACACATGAGAGGAAGAAAGACTCAGATAGTCCACCCAAGTGGTGAAAGTGATGGCATTTGAATGGCGGGAATATGGGGTAACATTTTCTTCTTCCTAGTTTTTTTTTTTTTTTAATTTTTAACATTTATTTATTTTTGAGAGACAGAGAGAGACAGAGCATGAGCAGGGGAGGGGCAGAGAGAGAGGGAGACAGAGATTCCGAAGCAGCCTCCAGGCTCTGAGCTTTTTGTCAGCACAGAGTCCAACTCTGATGCGGGGCTCAAACCCATAAACCATGAGATCATGACCTGAGCCGAAGGTGGATGCTCAACTGACTGAGCCACCCAGGCACCCCTTCTTCTTTCTAGTTTTTAAATTATCTTCCAAGTTCTCTTTAGTGAGCTTCCACAATGAAGACAGAAATATATCCTGACAATCTCCACATTCATCATATTTAGCCCCAAATTGCTCTTCTCTCCACATTCTCTTCTGGTCTCATTTTTCCTGCCACTTTGGAGTTATCTGTGCCCTCTGCCTTTCCTTGGGCTTTCCCTGCAGACATCCAGCTGGCTCCTGGGCCCTCCCTGATAATGGTACTCCCTGGGCCACATCTATCCCATTGTCTACTGCTGCTACCCTTGCTCTGGGCTCTGTGCCAGTTTGCACACTGCATGAGGTTCCCTCCTCCAGCCCTGCCTTCGTATGCCCTTTACCTGTTCAGACCCTCAGTGACCCCAACAGCGTCTCTGGCAGTGTGCACAGAGCCAGCTGTTCTCTGGATGGATTCGTAAAGTACGCTTTGTAGAGAAGCAGAGTGTCAAACCTGTTGAGGGCTTAGCTAAAGGCGTTCCCCTTACATATAGGAAACTGAGCTCAGAGACTTGTCCTTGATTTGTTCAGAGACACAGAGCTAATGTGTGGCAGAGGCCACCTGCAGACTTAAGGTCTCAACTGCCAATCTTGTGCCCTTTCCATGATTCTACCCTGCCTTCCTGCAAAACACTTCCAAATGATATGGTTTTCTCATTGTTTATTGCAGGCCCCAAGAAGATCTGTCTGGATGAGTTAGCTCTTTTGTTAGACCATGTGGCTCACCCTCCCTCTGTGAGCTTGGAGAAGAGTAGGACTGGGTTTATGATACTGGCTTCATTCTTATGTGCCGTATCCCCAGCAACAACCATTAGTCTTAGGATTGGGTCCTTTGGTGAGACTATTCAGTCCTTAACACCACTGCTCGAAACAGAATTCTGACTATCTTGTATCGGATGGTGATCTGGTGGTTTTTATAATAGGTGTGGTGGGTCGGTCTACAGCGATGGCCAGCAAAGATGGTAGATCCTACTTCATCTTCCCATATGTGCACACTGCTCCTCCCACCAAGAGGTGGCATCTGTATTCCCATCCCTTTGAATTTGTAACTTGCTTTGACCGACAGGACATGCAGAAGTGATGCCCTGTGACTTCCAGGGTGTAGCCTTGTGGCTTGCATTGTCCCCTCTTAGAACCAGGTGTGATACATAGAAGCTTGACTCCATCCAGGAGAGAGAGGCCACCTGAAGAGAGCCAGCCCCTGGATGATGTGACAACGAAGGGAGAGAGAGGAGTACAGCTACCCCGCAGGCACCCCGGGTGAGTAGCTGTGTGAAGCCATCTTCTATCCTTAGCCTCAGTTGAGCTGCCCGGCAGAAACTGCCTGCACCTGCCAGGCCCTGCCCAAGATGCAGATTCATGAGTAAATAAATGGCTGTGTTTGTTTTACGCCTTTGTATTTTGGGGTGACTTGTTATGTGGCAATAATAACTGAAATGGAAGGATAATATATTTATAGAATAAATTTTAGGTTTAATTCTGTAATGATCATAAACAATACATTTTATTTTATTTTTTGGTGCCGAAACCCAGGAATGAATAAAGAATAAGTTTTAGAAATAAATTTCAGTTTTGGGGTGCCTGGGTGGCTCAGTTGGTTAAGCGTCCGACTTCGGCTCAGATCATGGTCTCACGGTTTGTGAGTTCGAGCCTCACATCGGGCTCTGTGCTGACACCTTGGAGCCTACAGTCTGCTTTGCATTCTGTACCCATTCACTCTCTGCCCCTCCCCCACATGTGCTCTGTGTCTCTCTGTCTCTCAAAAATAAATAAATGTAAAAAAATTTTTTTAATAAAAAAAAGAAAGAAATTTCAGTTTTAATGATCTAAGTCAGGCCACTGGCTTAGGTGAGGCCATTGTGATTGGTCCAATCTTTATTTAAAGGAGACAGGTCTTCTCAGATACTACTATAGCCTTAAAGAGGCATTTTAATTTTTTTCTTAATGTTTATTCATTTTTGAGAGATAGAGACAAGAGTGAGAGCTGGTGGGGGGTGGGTGTGCAGAGGGAGAGGTATACATAGAATCTGAAGCAGGCTCCAGGTTCTGAGGTGTCAGCACAAAGCCCAACGTGGGGCTCGAACTCACAAACCACGAGATCGTGACCTGAGCTGAAGCCCGACACCCAACTGACTGAATCACCCAGGTGCCCCTTAAATTTTTTTTTAATGTTTCATTTATTTCTGAGAGAGAGAGAGAGAGAGAGGGAGACAGCGTGAGCAGGAGAGGGTCAGAGAGAGAGGGAGACACAGTATCTGAAACAGGCTCCAGGCTCTGAGCTAGCTGTCAGCACGGAGCCCGACATGGGGCTTGAACCCACGAACCATGGGATCATGAGCTGAGCTGAAGTCGGCCACTTAACTGACTGAGCCACCCAGGCGTTAAAGGGGCATATTATTTTTATTTTTATTTATTTTTAATTTTTAAATGTTTTATTTATTTCTGAGAGAGAGAGAGGGAGACAGCATGAGCAGGGGAGGGTCAGAGAGAGAGAGGGAGATATAGAATCTGCAACAGGCACCAGGCTCTGAGCTAGCTGTCAGCACAGACAGAGCCCGACACGGGGCTGGAACCCACAAACCGTGAGACCATGCATGACCTGAGCCGAAGTCAGACGCTTAACCGACTGAGCCACCCAGGCGCCCGAAAAGGGTATTTTAAAAGAATTATATACTCATGTCAAAAATGCTCACATATATTCCAATGTGGTAGGTGACTTCTAAATTGCCACCAGTGGTCTAGACCTTCTGGTATTCATGCCCTGTGTCATCTCCTCCCTTTGAGTGTAGCTGGGCCTAGTAAATGGCTTCTGATGAATAGAAAACAGCAAAAGTCATGGGATGTCACTTCCTAGATTAGGTTAGAAAAAGACTGTGACTTCTATCTTGCTTGCCACCACGTTCCTCTCATGCCCTGGCTCTAGTGGAAGCTAGCTGCCATGTGGTGAGTAGTCTTCTAGAGAGGTTCTTGTGGCAAGGGACTAATGTCTCTGAGCAATAGCTCTTGCCAGCACCTGACTTACAGCCTTCTGAGAATCCCTTACCAGAGGAGCCAGCCAAGCTGAAACAGTGATATAATAAATACTTAATTGTTTTAAGATGCAAAGTTTTGGGATAATTTGTAATATATATACATGTATATATATATATGTATACATATGTGTGTATACACACATATATATATAACTAATATATTCATTAACTGAAAAAAATAGGATTTCAAATATTTGTTGGTAGAACTTTACAGAGAGCTAATATGACCATAAATATCAAACTCCCCTACAATTTTACATACCCTTGTAGCTCCACCTCTAGAAAGTTCTCTTAAGGGAAAAGAAAAATCATGGAATACTAACAAAGGACTAGTTACAGGGGTGTTCAGAACAGTACTGTTTATAATGGCAAAAAAACTGGTAGCAGTCCATATATCTAATGATAGGGGATTGAGTAGCTATATCATGAAATTGCTGCTAATAGAACAGGTTGGAATCCACTAGTGAGTCTTTTTTTTTTTTTTTTTTTTTTTTTTTT